TGCTTGTGTTGGTGGTAAACTTGATTGTGTTATGTGTTCCCTATCGAAACATGTNTGTCGTTATGATTTTTTGTCACAAACTGTTCAGTTGTGGCATGACCGTTTTGGACATATAAATTTTAAATATTTATGTATGTTGTTTCCTGCTTTGACCATGCTTGTGTTGGTGGTAAACTTGATTGTGTTATGTGTTCCCTATCGAAACATGCTAGGACCAATTATATTTCTCGAATGCAACAGTCACCCAAGCCATTTGACCTAATACACTCTGATATTTGGGGGACCAGTCAGGTGCTCGATACTATGTGACATTTATAGATGATTATACCCGTTGTTCTTGGGTCTATCTTTTGCATAGGAAGTTCGATGTGCTCCCTATAATCACTTAATTTCTACAGATGATTAAGACACAATTCGATGTCATTGTTCGTGCTTTTCGTTCGAATAATGCCAAAGAATATGTGTTTGATGCCTTAACATCTTTCTTTTCAAGGTATTCTTTAGCAACTCACTTGTCCATATAATCCTAAGCAAAATGGTGTTGCTGAAAGGAAAAATAGGATGTCTGATAGGAATGGTACGTTATATGTTTAGAGACATGGGGGTACTAAATCTTATTGACATTTTGTTGTTTTGACTTCTACCTTTCTATGCAATTGTACACCGAGTCGTGTTCTTCAGTATAGGGCTCCTTTACAGGTCTTATTTTTTGAGTGGACACTTTTTTCGGTGTCCCCTCATATTTTTGGATGCATATGTTTTGTTCAGGATCGGTCTCCTACTCATCATAAGCTTGATGATAAAGTGATTCATTGTGTCTTTGTAGGCTATTGCCATCAGNTGCCAAAGAATATGTGTTTGATGCCTTAACATCTTTCTTTTCAAGGTATTCTTTAGCAACTCACTTGTCCATATAATCCTAAGCAAAATGGTGTTGCTGAAAGGAAAAATAGGATGTCTGATAGGAATGGTACGTTATATGTTTAGAGACATGGGGGTACTAAATCTTATTGACATTTTGTTGTTTTGACTTCTACCTTTCTATGCAATCGTACACCGAGTCGTGTTCTTCAGTATAGGGCTCCTTTACAGGTCTTATTTTTTGAGTGGACACTTTTTTCGGTGTCCCCTCATATTTTTGGATGCATATGTTTTGTTCAGGATCGGTCCACTACTCATCATAAGCTTGATGATAAAGTGATTCATTGTGTCTTTGTAGGCTATTGCCATCAGTCTAATGGGTATCGGTGTTATGATCCTATTAGGCGTCGTATGTATCACAATCTAGATGTTATCTTTCTTGAGCATATTCCTTATTTTTCTTTCAGTGTCTGCCCCTCCAGTTGATGATACTCTCTTTGATTTTTCATTACCACAAAAGTCAGAGTCATTGATCACTATCACTACAGAGTCATCCGTCTTTCCTCCTCTAGAGTCACTCATCCTTGTCAATACAGAGTCACTAGTCTCTCTTCCTTTGCAGGTTGATGTTCGTCGCCCTCGCTCTCATCCCCCTTGTTGATGTCCCCTCTACCTTAGACAATGCAGGTAATACTTCTTAGTACGTTGAGCATATTGATGCACATGTTGTTGGTACTGATGAGATTACAGGTACTAGACCAATTACGTTACTTGATGAGACATTGTCAGTGGAGGATGATGATTTAGGACGTTGTTATCTGCGGTGTGATCGTTGTCCAGTTATTCGTTATGGTTGGACTGCTAGGATTTTATATCCGATTTCTGCTTATGTTTCTTATGGTGATCTGTGTCCTACATTTCGAGCTTATAGTATGACCTTATCAGATACGCCGGTTCCTTACTCTATTTCAGAGGCCAAGCGGGAGCCCCAGTGGGTTCTTGCCATGCAGACAGAGATGGACGCTCTTCAGCGTAATCATACGTAGGATCTTGTCTCTTTACCTTCAGGGGTGAAGTCTGTTGGCTGTCGCTGGGTTTACACCCTGAAGTTTCTTGCGGATGGTACTATTGATCGTTACAAGGCTAAGCTTGTGACGAAGGGCTTTAATTAGATACCAGGTCGTGATTTTGGTGCTACTTTTGCCCCTGTGGCAAAATTGACTATTGTTCGATTGATTATTTCTCTGGCTGCGGAGTATTCTTGACCTTTTCATCAGTTGGATGTGAAGAATACGTTTTTTCACAGTGATCTGGACGAGATTATTTATATGGATGTACCACCAGACTTTAGTGGTGAGGGGGGCGTATGTTAGAAAGGTATGTCGACTGCGTAAGTCTCTTTATGGACTGAAACAGTTACCACGAGCCTGGTTTTCTCGCTTTAGTGATGTAGTTGTACGTTTAGGGTTTATCAGATGTCATTCTGACCATACTTGTTTCATTCGATAGAATACTTCTAGACAGTGTGTCATCCTTTTGGTATATGTTGATGATATTATTATTTACTAGATATGATGTTTATGGGACTACGTAGGTCAAGGTAGACCTTGGGAAGGCCTGCGATGTGAAGGACCTTGGATTTTTGCGATACNAATACTTCTAGACAGTGTGTCATCCTTTTGGTATATGTTGATGATATTATTATTACTGGATATGATGTTTATGGGACTGCGTAGGTCAAGGTAGACCTTGGGAAGGCCTGCGATGTGAAGGACCTTGGATTTTTGCGATATTTTCTTGGGATTGAGGTTGCTCGTAGCAGTATGGGTATTGTTCTTTTTCAGAGAAAGTATGTTTTGGATCTTTTCTCAGACATTGGGATGCTGGGGTACAAATCGGCATCATCACCCATGATTTCAAATCTGAAACTTGCTGCTGCAGGTGAGGAATTGAAAGATCTGACTGTCTATCAGAGGTTGGTGGGTAGACTTATCTACCTAGCCAATACTAGGCCAGATATTTCATTCACTGTCAGCTGAGTTAGTCAGTTCATGCACAGACCATGTCAGCCTTATCTTAATGCATTTTATTATATTCTTCAGTACCTCAAGTCTTGTCCTGGACTTGGATTGTTCTACACATCAAGATCTCAGGCTAGTTCTCTAGCCTGGTATTCAGATTTAGATTATGGGAGAATGTGTGACGGTCGAACTACTACGGACTTTTGTGCTTTTCGAGGGACTCATCTTATCTCTTGAAAGAGTAAGAAACAGTCAGTTGTCTCTCGCTCGTTAGCAGAGGCAACAAAACCAACAGATTTTAACAAAATCTCTAACCCAAGTCAAACCAACAAGCTAATAGATCAACAATACACAAACCAAAGAGAAAAGAGTTGCCTACCAAAGAGAGGAGCCAACACAAATCACCAAGATCTCACTGCCATAGCAGAGATTTGATTGTCAAAAGATCTGGAACAAAACTCAAATAAATCTTCTCCAATAGCTTCTAAACAGTCAAACCATCACGAAGAAGTCCAAATCGCATCCATTAGACAAGAAATCAAGCCTTAGATCTGAAGAATACCACCAAGATTTGTAGATCGAAAACTTTTGACATAAAGTCTTCAAAAATATTCCAAAAATAGAAAGACGTAGTAGATGACCGCGAAATCAAAAATGAAACAGTCCTTTGGAAAGTTTGTGAAGAATCGAGCAGCTTTGTGCTCTCGCCTGCTCCAGATTGAAGAATTTTTTTTTTGCTGTGTTCTACAATTTCTTAAGTATGGTAGTGATCGTAATCAACTTTGATACCATGTTAACATTGATAAAAAAAATAAGAAAATAAATAGTAGAGAAGAGAAAGAAGTGAAAGTTATTATTACGACTAATCTAGTATATATTACAGCTAAACCTGAAACACACGATGTAGGCCCTTATACAGTAGGGTAGCACAGAAGGAAGTAAATGTCTAAACTACTCGTAATATTAATACTCTAACAGTTAGTTTGGTATATCTTACTATTGCACAACTTGATATTACTTATGCTATTCATATTGTGAATTAGTTGTCTCTTCCTTGGCTATGATTCACTGTGCAAAAGTTCTTCATATTTTGCATTATCTTTGGGGAACTTTATATATTTTGTTGTTCTCTTCCATTTCTTCTTTGGAGCTTCATGCCATTTTAGATGCTGACCGACATGTGATACTATAGATTTTGAATCCACCATTGGTTTCTGTGATTGTCTAGGTGATTCTTTTATTTCCTCAAAAAGCAAGAAACAGGCTACTGTTTTCGTTCTGCTGAATATCGCGCTATGACTACGATTACATTAGAGATATTTTTGTTAATATGCTTGCTTGCCGATCTAGGAGTTTCCTTTTTTGCTCTTACTTCTATGTATTGTGACAACAAAAGTGTCATTTAGATTGCACACAATTTTGTTCTTCATGAGCGGACTAAGCATATCAAGATCGACTATTATTTTGTGCGCTATCATCCTCAACTTGAGACTATTTTCTTTCCTTTTGTTTTTCCTACTGTGCAATTGACTCACTTTTTCACGAAGTCTCAAACCAAGCAACAGTTTCATTTTTTTCTCGACAAACCATAGATGCCCCCTATTGTCACATCATGAGTTTGAGGGGGGTGTAAAGATTGTACTTATATTATTTATAAAAAAAATTTGGGTTTTTTTTTTGTACTAGTGTTCTATATTTAGTATCTCTTGTATCTAGTTTTCATTATTATGGAACATTAAAGTAGCATACTTCTTTTCCCTATTACACTTTTGCATATGTTTTCTTTTCTTTGCAAGATTATATTAGTTTTTTCACCGGGCTCTAAGACAAATTCCTTACCGTCATGTATATATTCATACTAAGTGATGAGAGTGGAGACTACAGCGTTGTAACTATTTTATACTATGACAGGTATTAAGACAAAAACTTATAATTATGTGATGCACATCAAAATAATTGGATTATGCCATCATGAACGATGTAGTTGTCTATGTAAGTTGTATTTCTGTAAATGTAATTTAACAAAGAAGGTGAAGAAGAGAAAAGAGGAGAGAAATTATATGGCTGTGAGAGAATTAGAACTCGGGTTCTCTCTTGCTTGATCTCATATTAAACGATATGAGGAATTATGAGTGGGAACTTTGTGCAAGAGAGGTGAAGGTAGAAGGCTAATCTTGTTTGGAAATATGAGACAAAATTACACGAGGAATGACAGGACTTAGTTATCAACCATCTACTCTAAAATATTTTATTGTTTGAGAGTGTTTAACTATAAATCACTAATAATCCCTTTTGATGTCGTTTATTACTTGTTATGGTTAGGATGCACTATTGTGATTTAAAATAGGAAGTGGGAAGTTAAGGGTATTCTTATTATCTATCATCGAGTTTTCTTGTATATTTAGTTAGATCCACTTTTTGGTCTCAGGGAGGGCAAGAGATATGTTTTAGAGAATAAAACTTTGATGGTTTTGTATTTTTGATTAATATCTTGGTGTGAATTATGTTAAATCAAATGATTTAGTCATTATGCATTGATGGGATAAAGATTGGCCCAATGGTAATGGAACCATAACCCACATTGCAATTGGCGTGGGTTCGAGTCTCATTCAAAGCGATGCTCCCCTCTCCCCCAGGTCTGTATTCTTGGCCAAAGGGAAAAAAATTACCATCAAGCATTGATGGATGCACAATATGGTGTCTTGTTGCTTTTGCTGGATCTCATGTAGTTCCAGGCATGACCATTGGATTTTTTTTTTTTTGTCATTTTGCAGTTTAGGCTGGCTTATGTTGCTCCTGAATCTAGAGTGGTGGGTGCTGGAGACTTGGTAGATCATCCAAAAAAAATTGCTCTTAATTACCTTAAAGGATACTTTCTTATTGATTTGTTTGTTGTATTACCGCTTCCTCAAGTAAGTTGCCTTTCTCTTGCATGTTAATTTTGCATTTCTTTCATTCTACATTATTTCACAATTTTTTGAGATCAGCAAACCATTACGAAACATCATCAATATCCTATGCTGGTCCCACAAATGTAAGGGCCAGGGGTGGACTTGCATAATGTGGGCTCTATAGAACTTAAGCTGGTGTTTTCATTCACGTGCAAGTCCACAGCCATTTTAATTTCCAAAGTAGCGGAAATGTGTGACTTGGCATTTTACGAAATTGATTTAACTAACTATGTGGGATATCTAATTATTTAGTCCATTCAGGTTAGGACCTAGGTCACCCCTTCAGACCTTAGCATTGTTTGGAGCAACACTGGGTAGTAAGCCTGTTTTTGAGTTTCCACATTTACGGACTAATTCTGGCAAGTTGGGCCACATGGGATTTGCGAGCCATATTTGTAATTGTGCAGTATCCATCCATCTTAATAGAGATGTAAGACCCTTCAAGTGAGACATGTAAGCATCACATGGCTGCCATATGGAAGTGTTACTTTTCCTATGGACTTCGCAATAAACATAGTTCTTATTTATCTATGATTCAAGGAGCCATAAAGTGTTTGCAGATCACCCTTCGAACAAAAATCAACCTACCCAATTGGCACTTGATGAAAGATCTAAGTGTGGTTGAAAGAAAGAAAGGAAAAAGCTGTGGTTGCTAAGGGTGGCCTTTAGTCATGCATAACTACAATACTGATTGAGTATGTGATTTTTGAGTCATCTTAAATTAGACACAACATTTCATCCCTAAAATTTTGAAACATCTAGAGCACTAAAACACAGTCAATACCATTTGCAAAGTGAGGTCTAGGTACAGAACACCTATTTCCAGCAACAGAAGAGCTATAACACTCAACCCTTAATGCCCTATCCGTCTACAAGACATTAAACCTAAATTCGGGTAATCGATCGAACTTCACACATGCAATTTATGGATGTGGAGAATCTCAAACCTCATTATGTCATGCCCTAAACCGGAAGAGCTAACCCCCATTTCCNACATTTCATCCCTAAAATTTTGAAACATCTAGAGCACTAAAACACAGTCAATACCATATGCAAAGTGAGGTCTAGGTACAGAACACCTATTTCCAGCAACAGAAGAGCTATAACACTCCCTTAATGCCCTATCCGTCTACAAGACATTAAACCTAAATTCAGGTAATCGATCGAACTTCACACATGCAATTTATGGATGTGGAGAATCTCAAACCTCATTATGTCATGCCCTAAACCAGAAGAGCTAACCCCCATTTCTGAGATGTTGGACTCCACATTTGTACGTTAGACTTACCTCTTGCATTATACACATTTGCGTTTTATCGACTGTGTCAAATTAAATAATAAATACAGTCATAAGTATGAGATATAGCCATCACAACACAGCGTAGAAAATAACATTTATCCTTCTCTTTACATGGTATCTAAGCCATCTTGAATGGCTCAAACAATTTCAAAAATTCCCAGATTTTTTTTTCCTTTTTCTTCTGTTCTCTGGTTCATCTATTGACAGGAATCAATACTTGGGTGTGAGGATCGTTGGACTTTGAGATCTGTTAAAGAGTTGTTGATGGATGGGTGTTAATTTCCCCAATCCCTGTCACTGTTGGCTGAGGTTGTTCAGGTGTAGTCATTTCATCATTTGATCGCACCACTGATTTCAATTGTCCCTTGATTTTGATTGGTTGGTGATGCTTTCTGAATGAGTTGTGGTTTCCTAAGCTGAATCCAGTGGTGGGTTTCGTGATTGTGTTGCTTCATGCCAACGTCGATGCCTGTAGGGTTACGATTAGTCACCTGTGAAGAAGACAAGTGTGTTTGGCAACGGAGGAAATTTCCTATTGCGGTGTGTTCTCTTCCTGGATACCCAATCCCAATTCATTGTGATTTGGGTTAGGGTTACTTGAGCCCCTTAAGCTCATCCCATTTAGATTGCTTATCTGGTAATCCAGAAGGGATCAGGCCCAATTTGAAATCAGTCCAATTCAAGTCCAAGCCTAATCCATTTCAGTTCAGTAAAACTCCAAGGAAAGTTAATCAAGCCAGTTTAGCCCAATTCAATTTTGTTAGACCGGTTCATTTCACATTGGTTTAGGTCCCATCCAATTATTTGCAGACCGCAACATTGAGACCGGGCCAAATAGTTGCCCCCATTCAGTTTTATTGGACTGATTTGGAAAGAAAAGTTACATCTAAGAGTCCCTACACAACTCACTTCACATTTTTCAGTGTTGGTAAATTTTGCACCAACTTCAGACATGTTTTCTTAGCAAAAGAGAACTTTTCTAGCACAAGCCAACTACTGGATAACAATTTTGGGATCAACCCAACACACAAAGGGACCAAATTAGCAGCTGGAAACATAAAATACAAAACCCAGCAACCTTAGAGCATCTCCAAGGGAGATGACAAATGCTATATGTTAAACTTAAATTTGAAGGTCCATGTGGCAATTTGACATATAACATTTGACATCTTCACCTTATACTCCAACCAATATGTCAAATGTTATATGCCAAATTTATTTGATGCATTAGTAGGAAGTTGAGATATGCAAGGATTTGACATGGGAGATGAGATATTTTGCGGTATACACAAGGATCAAAATATCATTTCGAAACAGTCGAAACATTCGAAATGTTTCTATTTGCAAGGAGATCGAAAATAATCAGTGATAGAATCGAAATTTTAATACTTCGAAGTGTTCTATAATGTTTCAAAATGTTTTGTTATATTTCAATGCACTTTCACAATTATTTCGAATGTTTCAAAATGTTTCAAGATATTTTGATATATTTCAACTAATATTTTGAAAAAATAATTATTAAATTTTTATTTTTTTTCATTTTGTTTTCAAAACGGGTCGAAACTTTTCCAAAATATGTCGAAACATCTCCGTTTTCTAGGTGATAGAAATAATGCATCAAAATAAAATTTTGATCCTCGTTTTCGAAATATGTCAAAACGTTTCCCTTTTTTAGGTGACAGAAACAATGCAACGAAACGAAATTTTGATCCTCGTTTTCGAAACATGTCGAAATGTTTCCGTTTTCTAGGTGACAGAAATAATGCAATGAAACGAAATTTTGATCTTTGAGTATACCAAATTTGGTAGCATATCAAAATTTGACTAGCACATTCAGCATTTGACATAGCACAGTTAGCGTTTGATATTACCGTTTGAGGAAAAGAGGATGCCAAAAAGTGATGTTAGAGTTGTTGAACTAGGATTTGTCATCTCCCTTGGAGATGCTTTCTATACTCCAAAATTTTTTTTTCACAAAGGCCACAAATATCAAAAAACACAAAGCCCAAATCTGGAGAGCACAAAATAGTTACGGTTGAAACAAAGCAAAGCTAGAGAATTACTATTGAGGCCCAACACAAATCACTACTTTTAGAGCAAAAAATGTCACTGTCAAAGGAAAAAAAACTCATTGCTGGAGCAAACCACCAATTGCCGAAGAGAAAATGCCCAAAAAACTAGTGAGTTGTGCACGGAACTTCACCAAAGTTACTAGAAGACTTAGTCAACAGCCACAGGTGCCATTAGGGTCGTTGGAGTAGTCTGAAACTCAGCCAAATCGTAAATCACGAAATATGACCTGAAAATCTCAAAAAATATTCAAAATTAAAAAAAAACCTCGTATGGATTTAAAAAATTCCAGAACAAATTACCATCATACTAGGAGACAAAATCGATTTAGACCATGTCGAGTTTGATCATTTTCGGCGATGACGTCTGTGACACCAACGGTCTCCCAATGCCCNTGTTCTCTTCCTGGATACCCAATCCCAATTCATTGTGATTTGGGTTAGGGTTACTTGAGCCCCTTAAGCTCATCCCATTTAGATTGCTTATCTGGTAATCCAGAAGGGATCAGGCCCAATTTGAAATCAGTCCAATTCAAGTCCAAGCCTAATCCATTTCAGTTCAGTAAAACTCCAAGGAAAGTTAATCAAGCCAGTTTAGCCCAATTCAATTTTGTTAGACCGGTTCATTTCACATTGGTTTAGGTCCCATCCAATTATTTGCAGACCGCAACATTGAGACCGGGCCAAATAGTTGCCCCCATTCAGTTTTATTGGACTGATTTGGAAAGAAAAGTTACATCTAAGAGTCCCTACACAACTCACTTCACATTTTTCAGTGTTGGTAAATTTTGCACCAACTTCAGACATGTTTTCTTAGCAAAAGAGAACTTTTCTAGCACAAGCCAACTACTGGATAACAATTTTGGGATCAACCCAACACACAAAGGGACCAAATTAGCAGCTGGAAACATAAAATACAAAACCCAGCAACCTTAGAGCATCTCCAAGGGAGATGACAAATGCTATATGTTAAACTTAAATTTGAAGGTCCATGTGGCAATTTGACATATAACATTTGACATCTTCACCTTATACTCCAACCAATATGTCAAATGTTATATGCCAAATTTATTTGATGCATTAGTAGGAAGTTGAGATATGCAAGGATTTGACATGGGAGATGAGATATTTTGCGGTATACACAAGGATCAAAATATCATTTCGAAACAGTCGAAACATTCGAAATGTTTCTATTTGCAAGGAGATCGAAAATAATCAGTGATAGAATCGAAATTTTAATACTTCGAAGTGTTCTATAATGTTTCAAAATGTTTTGTTATATTTCAATGCACTTTCACAATTATTTCGAATGTTTCAAAATGTTTCAAGATATTTTGATATATTTCAACTAATATTTTGAAAAAATAATTATTAAATTTTTATTTTTTTTCATTTTGTTTTCAAAACGGGTCAAAACTTTTCCAAAATATATCGAAACATCTCCGTTTTCTAGGTGATAGAAATAATGCATCAAAATAAAATTTTGATCCTCGTTTTCGAAATATGTCAAAACGTTTCCCTTTTTTAGGTGACAGAAACAATGCAACGAAACGAAATTTTGATCCTCGTTTTCGAAACATGTCGAAATGTTTCCGTTTTCTAGGTGACAGAAATAATGCAATGAAACGAAATTTTGATCTTTGAGTATACCAAATTTGGTAGCATATCAAAATTTGACTAGCACATTCAGCATTTGACATAGCACAGTTAGCGTTTGATATTACCGTTTGAGGAAAAGAGGATGCCAAAAAGTGATGTTAGAGTTGTTGAACTAGGATTTGTCATCTCCCTTGGAGATGCTTTCTATACTCCAAAAATTTTTTTTCACAAAGGCCACAAATATCAAAAAACACAAAGCCCAAATCTGGAGAGCACAAAACAGTTACGGTTGAAACAAAGCAAAGCTAGAGAATTACTATTGAGGCCCAACACAAATCACTACTTTTAGAGCAAAAAATGTCACTGTCAAAGGAAAAAAAACTCATTGCTGGAGCAAACCACCAATTGCCGAAGAGAAAATGCCCAAAAAACTAGTGAGTTGTGCACGGAACTTCACCAAAGTTACTAGAAGACTTAGTCAACAGCCACAGGTGCCATTAGGGTCGTTGGAGTAGTCTGAAACTCAGCCAAATCGTAAATCACGAAATATGACCTGAAAATCTCAAAAAATATTCAAAATTAAAAAAAAACCTCGTATGGATTTAAAAAATTCCAGAACAAATTACCATCATACTAGGAGACAAAATCGATTTAGACCATGTCAAGTTTGATCATTTTCGGCGATGACGTCTGTGACACCAGCGGTCTCCCAATGCCTTCCTGAATGTTTCGGTGACTTCAAACTTTCGTTTGATTGCTCTAACACCAAGTTGAAATCTAAAGATCTTAGATCCTAGGATTTTGAGTGGAGAAGAGGCAAGAGAAGAAAGAGATAAGAAAATAGGGTTAAGGATAATGAGAGAGTTAACTTGCTTCTCCTCTCATCATCTTTTTTTTTTTTTTTGAACCTCGATGGTGCGAAGAAATTTTATTAATTTGAAAAAATCAAATTAAATCTAGCTAAGAGGGGACGCATGTACCTTACTCCTTGATGCCATCTAATTGCATAAAATAAGTAAAGAAAAGCAAATTAGTAAAAAGTAAATTATTCTAAACATGCATCTTTTTAAATTCCTAAGTGTTCGGCTGATAGTGGATAGACCGGTTAACTAGGAGACCAGTTGAATTGAAAAGAACTGGGGTTGTGTAATAGTTGATAAGACCAGCTGAGCCTCTAGCTGAAGCAAAATATCCTCCATTTAGTGCCTAAATCCGTGTGGATTCTTTTGATTTGGAATTTTAAAGGTTATCTTGGATTTGGACCTAGTCATTATTGCTGAATTTTCTATGGCTGGGGTATTATTCAACGCCAACGCCAACGCCAAAGCCAAAGCAGCTAGCTCCTCTTCTTTTCTCCTTTTTTTTTTTTTTTTCTCTCACCAATATTGAGTTTTCCCAACGATTCTTTGGACTTGGCCATAAGAGACTTACAATCCATTTGAGGCACTAAACTATCCTCCTCCCCATCAGAGGAAAACCTTCTTGTGTTCTCCAGAAGAGAAGACTCTTTCACATAGTGGGATACAAACTCTTTTCACTGTTGCATAAATTATCCAGTCGCAACTAATGTTGATTATCCGTTGTTGTGTTTTACTTTTCCAAGTTAGACTTACCTGTACAGAATCCTACTTGGATACTAAGTACACCAGACACATCCAATCTGACCACAGGTTTGCTCGGACTCGGGGCATTTGCAAAAAGAGCTTTGTCCTAGTGGTCAAGCTCAGTTTGTTTAGGAAGTAAATACAGGTGAATGAACCCATAGGTGAGCCATGCAGGAGTTGTTCATGAGAAGCTCAGATCATTTGCTGCCCTTTTGCAAATGATCCACATCCACTTTAACAGGAGGGGCCATGTCCCGTTCCTTGGGCCATGACTCATTCCTTCTGAACCTGCTGCTTGACTCTACTTCCTCTCCAACTACTGAGCAACACCTTAATTGACCTTGGCATCACCCACATCACACTAATCAATGAGGACAAGACATGCCATAGTTCTTTTGCCACATTTCCTTTGGAGTTTAATTGCATGTCTGGTAATTATGATGTTTTATAAAATGATTATTTCTAGGTATATTTATACTGCCTATTTTCATGATTGCATTTTCCATTTTGTTGAAGACCTGTATACCTCCTGTCATATATGATTTCCTCTCATGTAGATTATTATATTAGTGGTCCTACCGGATTTTATGGGATCAGCTGGGGTAAATTATGCGAAGAATCTTTTGCGAGCAGCGATTCTTGTTCAATACGTTCCCAGGTTGTATAGGTTTCTACCTTTGCTTGCTGGTCAGTCCCCAAGTGGCTTCATATTTGAGTCAGCATGGGCAAATTTTATTATAAATCTCCTCACGTTTGTGTTATCTGGCCACGTTGTGGGGTCATGCTGGTACCTTTTTGGGCTACAGGTTGGTGGTATATATTTCATGTCTTGCAGTTCCTGAGATTTTCTGTAAGAACTACGTTACTTGTCTCTTTATACAATATGATTCATGATTAGTTCTTACACACTTGTGATTAACTACTTTCTATGTTGCCTGAGTTTTAGCACAATGGAATTTCTTATGAATAATATCTACATCACTTTTGTAGTTTTCGTATTTGGCTTTTTACATGCATGTTGAAATATAAATACTTAAGTTACACTATCTTTAACAAGCTTAAACTTTTGGAGTGGATAGTTGTTTAACATAGTATCAGAGTAGGAGGTCCTGTGTTTGAATCTCGCCGTCACCCTAATTATTAAAAGAGTTTTCACATGCTAGGCTGGCCAGCATGTGAGGGGGCGTGTTAAAGTATAAATACTTAAGTTACAACCCTCCTCAACATGCTNACAAGCTTAAACTTTTGGAGTGGATAGTTGTTTAACATAGTATCAGAGTAGGAGGTCTTGTGTTTGAATCTCGCCGTCACCCTAATTATTAAAAGAGTTTTCACATGCTAGGCTGGCCAACATGTGAGGGGGCGTGTTAAAGTATAAATACTTAAGTTACAACCCTCCTCAACATGCTTAAGATTTTGGAGTAGATGGTTGTTTAACAATGTCAACGCGGTAGTAACTGTCACAGAATTGTGAATTAAAGTGAATCATGACCATGTAAAACCTTTTATGTTAATTTTTCATTTTGTCCTTAAAAACTAGTAGCAAAATAGTTTCTCCAGCATAAACTTTTTGTGAAGCTTCGTGACTCTTGAAAGTTATGATTATGATAATCATAATACTGATGCGTTTCATTCATGAAACTTTTTCACTAAAGTTACTGTTAGCTACATATATTCTGCATTTTTTGGTGAATGGTGTTGAGAAAATTTTCATCAGATGAAAGAAGTTTATGGTGATTCTGCATAATTTTAAATATATTTTTCATTCATGTCACAGAGCTCGTGTCCTTTTCATCTGGGAAGGCAGATACACATGGCTGCTTCCCATGAAGTGTTCTGTTCACCTGTGAGATTGCATGGAGTGACGACTTGCAACACTGAATGGACCTAGAGGGAAGATGAATATGTCATAAAGAAAAGCACTGAGCTATTAAGACTTAAAGAGATCAAATTCAACACAATATACTACCAGCAAATCTGCAATCAAATCATAATAACAAATATTCAAGGAGAATAAAAATACATTATATGAAAGTAAATCAAGAAAAAATTACTCAACAATATTTAACTGCAAAACTTGAACTCGGGTAAAAAAAGCATGGGACTTGGTCTGTAGTATTGAAATCAAGATACAACGTTCAATACTTACTGCTAGGGCGATACTTTCCTATTATTCTACAGTTCCTATTGGAGTATTACTTTCCATTTGTTCAATTTTCATATTATGTTACTTTTCTATTATTCTACTTTCCAATTATGTGTTTTTCTATTATGTTCTACTTTCATAATATTGTAATTGTCTTTAAGATCAATCTAATATAAATAGGTGATATGGTGTTGGCAACGCACGCCCTACACATAGTATTGTTTTAAACTCTCTTTCTTCCTCTCTTCTTCTTCTCTTTCTTTTCCTTAACCCTAACAAATATTCAAGTTTCAACTCTTACATTCCTTGTTCACACCACTAGCTATAACTTAAACTCTTGTCTTTACCTATCCCAATGAATGCTTATGCCGTTCAACTCGTGTCTGAAAGCCGGTCCCCGATGAAGGTCTAGATCACGTTCCTACTCCAAAAAAGTTCTCAGCTAGTCTAAATTGTAGATGGTCTCTGTTCATTGTAGCTCCTTGAAATTCGCCCCATATACTCAAGGCAGTCACAATCGAGTTTTAGAAACTCCTTTCCTTCAAATTTCAGGATTAATTAAGTATTCGCAAATGACACAATAGTCTCGAACAAGTTTTTGATGATGTTAGAGTTCTTATTTTTTATATTACTCATATTTAATGAGTATAGGGTAATATTGTAATTATCCTAATTATCTCTCCTCTATAAATAAGAAAGTGTAGGGTAACACAGGCCTACACATATTATTTCTCTCAATCTCTCTTCTCTTTTTCTCATCTACTCTCCCTCTGATAAAACCTAATATTAGATTTATAACTTAACTTGGTATCAGAGTAATATCTCATTATAAAATTACATGGAGAAGGAGCAGAATAAAAACCCAGAGCCAGTAATACACGCTAACATCTTCGTTGAAAAGTGACATCACATTCAGAAAGTGACATCATGCTGACGCTTGACGATAGCAATTTCTTGTGATCAAACCACATTGCTATGATCGATTTTTGGCTATGATAATTATGGTGATTTTTCCAAAAATTTTTGAAGTCATTTAGCGTAACTTTCATATTTTTGAATCTTTTTCAGAAAATTTGAACCCGATTCATTGATTTGTTGCTTGGATGCAATCTCGGAGTTTCTCTTTGTTTCTTCTTGACCATATGGGTTCGACTAACATCCTAGGAGGTGTATGTGCTTGAACCATTTGCTTTTGGGTTGTTGTTGTGTGTTTTTTTGGCTTGTACAGTGTTTGGCTAGCACTGNTCGACTAACATCCTAGGAGGTGTATGTGCTTGAACCATTTGCTTTTGGGTTGTTGTTATGTGTTTTTTTGGCTTGTACAGTGTTTGGCTAGCACTGGTCAATTTTGCCACGGGGGCAAATGTAGCACCAAAATCACGACCTGGTACTTGAGTAAAGCCCTTCGCCACAAGCCTAGCCTTGTGACGATCAATAGTACCATCCGCAAGAAACTTCAAGGTGTAAACCTAGTGACAGCCAACAGACTTCACCCCTGATGGTAAAGAGACAAGATCTCATGTATGATTACGCTGAAGAACATCCATCTCTGTCTGCATGGCAAGAACCTATTGGGACTCCCGTATAGCATCTGAAACAGAGTGAGGAACCGGCGTATTTGATAAGACTATACTATAAGCTCGAAATGTAGGAGAAAGATCACTATAAGAAATATAGGCAGAGATCGGATATAAAGTCTTAGCGATCCAACCATAACAAACAACTAAATGACGATCACACTGTGGATAACGACGCCCTAAATCATCATCCTTCACTAACAATGTCTCATTAGGGAAAGTAATTGACTTAGTACCTGCAATCTCATCAGTACTAACAACAGGTGCATCAATATGTTCAACGAACTGAGAAGTATTACCTGTATTGCCTAATATAGAGGGGACATCAACAGGGGGATGAGAGCGAGGGGGACGAACATAAACCTGCAAAGGAAGAGAGACTAGTGTCTCTGTACTAACAAGGACGAGTGACTCTGGAGGAGAAGAGACTGAGGGTTCTGTAGTGATAGTGATCAACGGCTCTAGCTCCTGTGGTAACGGAAAATCAAAGGGAGTATTATTAACTGGAGGGGCAGACACTGGACTGAAAGAAAAATAAAGAATGTGCTCAAGAAAGGTAACATCTAGACTGTGATACATACGACGCCTGACAGGATTATAACACCGATATCCTTTATACTGATGACAATAGCCTACAAAGACACAACAAATTACTTTATCATCAAGCTTATGGTAAGTAGGAGACCGACTTTAAACAAAACATGTGTAGCCAAAAACACGAGGGGGGACCGGAAAAAGTGTCCACTCAGGGAATAAGACCTGTAAGGGAGTCCTATGCTGAAGAACACGACTCGGTGTACGATTACACAAAAAAGTAGAAGTCAAAACAGTAAAATACCAATAAGATTTTGGTACCCCATACCTCTAAGCATATAACGTATCAACCCTATTAGACTCTTATTTTTCCNGACCTGTAAGGGAGCCCTATGCTGAAGAACATGACTCGGTGTACGATTACACAAAAAAGTAGAAGTCAAAACAGCAAAATACCAATAAGATTTTGGTACCCCATACCTCTAAGCATATAACGTATCATCCCTATTAGACTCTTATTTTTCCTTTCAACAACTCCATTTTGCTCAGGAGTATATGGACAAGTGAGCTGCTGAAGGAAACCCTGAGAGGAAAGATGAGACATTAAGGTATCAGACACATATTCTTTGGCATTATTTGAACNTCAACAACTCTATTTTGCTCAGGAGTATATGGACAAGTGAGCTGCTGAAGGATACCCTGAGAGGAAAGATGAGACATTAAGGTATCAGACACATATTCTTTGGCATTATTTGAACGAAGAGTACGAACAATGACATTGAATTGTGTCTTAATCATCTGGAGAAACTGAGTAATGGCAAGGAGTATATCAGATTTCTTATGCAAAAGGTAGATCCAAGTACAATGGGTATGGTCATCTATAAATGTCACATAGTATCGAGCACCTGACAGAGCAGTAACAGGAGAAGGTCCCCAAATATCAGAGTGTATTAGATCAAATGGCTTGAATGACTAGTACATGCGAGGAATATAACTGGTCCAAACATGTTTCGATAGGGTACATATAACACAGTCAAGTTTACCACAAATACAAGCATTGCTCAAAGCAGGAAATAACATATATAAATATTTAAAATTTGTATGCCCAAAACGGTCATGCTACAATTGAATAGTTTGTGATGAAAAATCATAACAACAAGTACTTGGCAATATACTAACATGCAAGTTAGGAACAGATAAAGACAAAGTAGGTGCAGGTGATGGAGGTGGAGGAACTGGTGAAACTGGAGATGAATCGCCTAGATAATACAATCCATCTCTCTCATGTCCCCTGATAATAATCCTCTTGGTACTCAGGTCCTGCAAATTATACGAATCAGATAAAAACACAACCGCACAGTGAAAATCTCTGGTTAATTGATGTACGGATAATAGATTCATGGCCAGTTTTGGCTCATGAAAAATCGAATGTAATGTAATGCCATCTGGGAGGTAGACTGTACCCCTACTAATAATAGGGGCATGTGTCCCATCTGTTAACTGAACCTGTGTATGTAACTGCTCGTCAAAAGTGGTGAAGTGATGAGCC